GTTTGGGATGTAGTATTTACCCACTTACCATGGGAAACAAAGGCATTTACCCACTTACCATGGGAAACATAGGTACAAGTTTGGGAATGTAGTATTTACCCACTTACCATGGGAAACATATGTACAAGTTTGGGAATGTAGCATTTACCCACTTACCATGGAAAACATATGTACAAGTTTGGGGATGTAGTATTTACCCACTTACCATGGAAAACATATGTACAAGTTTGAGGAAGTAGTATTTACCCACTTACCATGGGAAACATATGTACAAGTTTGGGAATGTAGCGTTTACCCACTTACCATGGGAAACATAGGTACAAGTTTGGGAATGTAGCATTTACCCACTTACCATGGGAAACAAAGGCATTTACCCACTTACCATGGGAAACAAAGGCATTTACCCACTTACCATGGGAAACAAAGGCATTTACCCACTTACCATGGGAAACAAAGGCATTTACCCACTTACCATGGGAAACAAAGGCATTTACCCACTTACCATGGGAAACAAAGGCATTTACCCACTTACCATGGGAAACAAAGGCATTTACCCACTTACTTCTCTTGATGCAGCATATCATATTTCTTCATGCGTGTGTATAAAATTACAGAGTTTTGCATTACCAATATGGCTTGTGTATTTTTTAAAGCAACATGAGAATCATTCTAATTGGTCATTTTTTTTAAATACATAGGTGTTATGCTAATGAACATGGTAATAGGATTGGCATTACAATATCAGTTTCATCATCATGGCTGATAGTAAGTGTACTCTATAACGTGATAATAATTGTATTCATATTTTCCAGCACTGCGTTATTCAACAAATGGTGGAGAGTATAATGATTCTGCGGCACAGCTTACGAGTAATCTTGTAAATATTAGGTAAGTACTATTCAACATTTCAAATGCTGTAGGGCAATTCCAAAGTAGGAGGGACATGAGGGAAAAAAAAGAAATCACTATTTTATTCTATATATGGTAGGAATTTATTCACAAGACCCCAGCCTCCCAGAAAAAAGTTGTTCTGAATTAGACCCATAATTTTTATCATGAATGCGCCTTCAAATATATGTTACATGCTTTCAAGCCTTTAGAGCCCCTTTAGTCTTGAAATGCTTCCTAATTTGGGTTGCTTTATGCTAACACTATCAATTAGAAAAGTATTGGACAATACACTTCACAATATGTACAAAACTTACAGAATTCAAGAATTGTGTACTGTTCTCTGTGTACAGTCAGTCAGCCTTGTGTACAGTCAGCCCTGTGTACAGTTCTCTGTGTACAGTCGGTCAGCCCTGTGTACAGTTCTCTGTGTACAGTCGGTCAGCCCTGTGTACAGTTCTCTGTGTACAGTCAGTCAGCCCTGTGTGCAGTCGGTCAGCCTTGTGTACAGTTCTCTGTGTACGGTCAGTCAGCCCTGTGTACAGTTCTCTGTGTACGGTCAGTCAGCCCTGTGTACAGTTTTCTGTGTACAGTCAGTCAGCCCTGTGTACAGTTCTCTGTGTACAGTCAGTCAGCCCTGTGTGCAGTCGGTCAGCCTTGTGTACAGTTCTCTGTGTACGGTCAGTCAGCCCTGTGTACAGTTCTCTGTGTACAGTCAGTCAGCCCTGTGTACAGTTCTCTGTGTACAGTCAGTCAGCCTTGTGTACAGTTCTCTGTGTACAGTCAGTCAGCCCTGTGTAAAGTTCTCTGTGTACAGTCAGTCAGCCCTGTGTACAATTCTCTGTGTACAGTCAGTCAGCCTTGTGTACAGTTCTCTGTGTACGGTCAGTCAGCCCTGTGTACAGTTCTCTGTGTACAGTCAGTCAGCCCTGTGTACAGTTCTCTGTGTACAGTCAGTCAGCCTTGTGTACAGTTCTCTGTGTACAGTCAGTCAGCCCTGTGTAAAGTTCTCTGTGTACAGTCAGTCAGCCAGCCCTGTGTACAATTCTCTGTGTACAGTCAGTCAGCCAGCCCTGTGTACAGTCAGTCAGCCCTGTGTAAAGTTCTCTGTGTACGGTCAGTCAGCCCTGTGTACAGTTCTCTGTGTACAGTCAGTCAGCCCTGTGTACAGTTCTCTGTGTACAGTCAGTCAGCCCTGAGTAAAGTTCTCTGTGTACAGTCAGTCAGCCCTGAGTAAAGTTCTCTGTGTACAGTCAGTCAGCCAGCCCTGTGTACAGTCAGTCAGCCCTGTGTAAAGTTCTCTGTGTACAGTCAGTCAGCCCTGTGTACAGTTCTCTGTGTACAGTCGGTCAGCCCTGTGTACAGTCGGTCAGCCCTGTGTGCAGTCGGTCAGCCCTGTGTGCAGTTCTCTGTGTACAGTCGGTCAGCCCTGTGTACAGTTCTCTGTGTACAGTCAGTCAGCCCTGTGTGCAGTCGGTCAGCCCTGTGTACAGTTCTCTGTGTACAGTCAGTCAGCCCTGTGTACAGTTCTCTGTGTACGGTCAGTCAGCCCTGTGTACGGTTCTCTGTGTACAGTCAGTCAGCCCTGTGTACAGTTCTCTGTGTACAGTCAGTCAGCCCTGTGTGCAGTCGGTCAGCCCTGTGTACAGTTCTCTGTGTGCAGTCAGTCAGCCCTGTGTGCAGTCGGTCAGCCCTGTGTACAGTTCTCTGTGTACAGTCGGTCAGCCCTGTGTGCAGTTCTCTGTGTACAGTCAGCCCTGTGTGCAGTTCTCTGTGTACAGTCAGTCAGCCCTGTGTACTGTTCTCTGTGTACAGTCAGTCAGCCCTGTGTACAGTTCTCTGTGTACAGTCAGTCAGCCCTGTGTGCAGTTCTCTGTGTACAGTCAGTCAGCCTTGTGTACAGTCAGCCCTGTGTACAGTTCTCTGTGTACAGTCAGTCAGCCCTGTGTACAGTTCTCTGTGTACATTCGGTCAGCCCTGTGTACAGTTCTCTGTGTACAGTCAGTCAGCCCTGTGTACAGTTCTCTGTGTACAGTCAGTCAGCCCTGTGTGCAGTCGGTCAGCCTTGTGTACAGTTCTCTGTGTACGGTCAGTCAGCCCTGTGTACAGTTCTCTGTGTACAGTCAGTCAGCCCTGTGTACAGTTCTCTGTGTACAGTCAGTCAGCCCTGTGTACAGTTCTCTGTGTACAGTCAGTCAGCCCTGTGTACAGTCCTCTGTACAGTCAGTCAGCCCTGTGTGCAGTCGGTCAGCCTTGTGTACAGTTCTCTGTGTACGGTCAGTCAGCCCTGTGTACAGTTCTCTGTGTACAGTCAGTCAGCCCTGTGTACAGTTCTCTGTGTACAGTCAGTGAGCCTTGTGTACAGTTCTCTGTGTACAGTCAGTCAGCCCTGTGTAAAGTTCTCTGTGTACAGTCAGTCAGCCCTGTGTGCAGTCGGTCAGCCCTGTGTACAGTTCTCTGTGTACAGTCAGTCAGCCCTGTGTACAGTTCTCTGTGTACAGTCGGTCAGCCTTGTGTACAGTTCTCTGTGTACAGTCAGTCAGCCCTGTGTACTGTCAGCCCTGTGTACAGTTCTCTGTGTACAGTCGGTCAGCCTTGTGTACAGTTCTCTGTGTACAGTCAGTCAGCCCTGTGTACAGTTCTCTGTGTACAGTCGGTCAGCCCTGTGTTCAGTTCTCTGTGTACAGTCAGTCAGCCCTGTGTGCAGTCGGTCAGCCTTGTGTACAGTTCTCTGTGTACAGTCAGTCAGCCCTGTGTACAGTTCTCTGTGTACAGTCAGTCAGCCCTGTGTGCAGTCGGTCAGCCCTGTGTACAGTTCTCTGTGTACAGTCAGTCAGCCCTGTGTACAGTTCTCTGTGTACGGTCAGTCAGCCCTGTGTACAGTTCTCTGTGTACAGTCAGTCAGCCCTGTGTACAGTTCTCTGTGTACAGTCAGTCAGCCCTGTGTACAGTTCTCTGTGTACAGTCAGTCAGCCCTGTGTGCAGTCGGTCAGCCCTGTGTACAGTTCTCTGTGTGCAGTCAGTCAGCCCTGTGTGCAGTTCTCTGTGTACAGTCAGTCAGCCTTGTGTACAGTCAGCCCTGTGTACAGTTCTCTGTGTACAGTCAGTCAGCCCTGTGTACAGTTCTCTGTGTACAGTCGGTCAGCCTTGTGTACAGTTCTCTGTGTACAGTCAGTCAGCCCTGTGTACAGTTCTCTGTGTACAGTCGGTCAGCCCTGTGTACAGTTCTCTGTGTACAGTCAGTCAGCCCTGTGTACAGTCGGTCAGCCCTGTGTGCAGTCGGTCAGCCCTGTGTGCAGTTCTCTGTGTACAGTCGGTCAGCCCTGTGTACAGTTCTCTGTGTACAGTCAGTCAGCCCTGTGTGCAGTCGGTCAGCCCTGTGTACAGTTCTCTGTGTACAGTCAGTCAGCCCTGTGTACAGTTCTCTGTGTACGGTCAGTCAGCCCTGTGTACAGTTCTCTGTGTACAGTCAGTCAGCCCTGTGTGCAGTCGGTCAGCCCTGTGTACAGTTCTCTGTGTGCAGTCAGTCAGCCCTGTGTGCAGTCGGTCAGCCCTGTGTACAGTCGGTCAGCCCTGTGTGCAGTTCTCTGTGTACAGTCAGTCAGCCTTGTGTACAGTCAGCCCTGTGTGCAGTTCTCTGTGTACAGTCAGTCAGCCCTGTGTACTGTTCTCTGTGTACAGTCAGTCAGCCCTGTGTACAGTTCTCTGTGTACAGTCAGTCAGCCCTGTGTGCAGTTCTCTGTGTACAGTCAGTCAGCCTTGTGTACAGTCAGCCCTGTGTACAGTTCTCTGTGTACAGTCAGTCAGCCCTGTGTACAGTTCTCTGTGTACATTCGGTCAGCCCTGTGTACAGTTCTCTGTGTACAGTCAGTCAGCCCTGTGTACAGTTCTCTGTGTACAGTCGGTCAGCCTTGTGTACAGTTCTCTGTGTACGGTCAGTCAGCCCTGTGTACAGTTCTCTGTGTACAGTCAGTCAGCCCTGTGTACAGTTCTCTGTGTACAGTCAGTCAGCCCTGTGTACAGTTCTCTGTGTACAGTCAGTCAGCCCTGTGTGCAGTCGGTCAGCCTTGTGTACAGTTCTCTGTGTACGGTCAGTCAGCCCTGTGTACAGTTCTCTGTGTACAGTCAGTCAGCCCTGTGTACAGTTCTCTGTGTACAGTCAGTGAGCCTTGTGTACAGTTCTCTGTGTACAGTCAGTCAGCCCTGTGTAAAGTTCTCTGTGTACAGTCAGTCAGCCCTGTGTACAGTTCTCTGTGTACAGTCAGTCAGCCAGCCCTGTGTACAGTCAGTCAGCCCTGTGTAAAGTTCTCTGTGTACGGTCAGTCAGCCCTGTGTACAGTTCTCTGTGTACAGTCAGTCAGCCCTGTGTACAATTCTCTGTGTACAGTCGGTCAGCCCTGTGTACAGTCAGTCAGCCTTGTGTACAGTTCTCTGTGTACAGTCAGTCAGCCAGCCCTGTGTACGGTCAGTCAGCCCTGTGTACAGTTCTCTGTGTACAGTCAGTCAGCCCTGTGTACAGTTCTCTGTGTAGTCAGTCAGCCAGCCCTGTGTACAGTTCTCTGTGTAGTCAGTCAGCCAGCCCTGTGTACAGTTCTCTGTGTACAGTCAGTCAGTCAGCCCTGTGTACAGTTCTCTGTGTACAGTCAGTCAGCCCTGTGTACAGTTCTCTGTGTACAGTTCTCTGTGTACAGTCAGTCAGCCCTGTGTACAGTTCTCTGTGTACAGTCAGTCAGCCCTGTGTGCAGTCGGTCAGCCTTGTGTACAGTTCTCTGTGTACGGTCAGTCAGCCCTGTGTACAGTTCTCTGTGTACAGTCAGTCAGCCCTGTGTACAGTTCTCTGTGTACAGTCAGTCAGCCCTGTGTACAGTTCTCTGTGTACAGTCAGTCAGCCCTGTGTGCAGTCGGTCAGCCTTGTGTACAGTTCTCTGTGTACGGTCAGTCAGCCCTGTGTACAGTTCTCTGTGTACGGTCAGTCAGCCCTGTGTACAGTTCTCTGTGTACAGTCAGTCAGCCCTGTGTACAGTTCTCTGTGTACAGTCAGTCAGCCAGCCCTGTGTACAGTCAGTCAGCACTGTGTAAAGTTCTCTGTGTACGGTCAGTCAGCCCTGTGTACAGTTCTCTGTGTACAGTCAGTCAGCCCTGTGTACAATTCTCTGTGTACAGTCTGTCAGCCCTGTGTACAGTCAGTCAGCCTTGTGTACAGTTCTCTGTGTACAGTCAGTCAGCCAGCCCTGTGTACGGTCAGTCAGCCCTGTGTACAGTTCTCTGTGTACAGTCAGTCAGCCCTGTGTACAGTTCTCTGTGTACAGTCGGTCAGCCCTGTGTACAGTCAGTCAGCCTTGTGTACAGTTCTCTGTGTACAGTCAGTCAGCCCTGTGTACAGTTCTCTGTGTACAGTCAGTCAGCCCTGTGTACAGTTCTCTGTGTACAGTCAGTCAGCCCTGTGTACAGTCAGTCAGCCCTGTGTACAGTTCTCTGTGTACAGTCAGTCAGCCAGCCCTGTGTACAGTTCTCTGTGTAGTCAGTCAGCCAGCCCTGTGTACAGTTCTCTGTGTACAGTTCTCTGTGTACAGTCAGTCAGCCAGCCCTGTGTACAGTTCTCTGTGTACAGTCAGTCAGTCAGCCCTGTGTACAGTTCTCTGTGTACAGTCAGTCAGCCCTGTGTACAGTTCTCTGTGTACAGTCAGTCAGCCCTGTGTACAGTTCTCTGTGTACAGTCAGTCAGCCCTGTGTACAGTCAGTCAGCCCTGTGTACAGTTCTCTGTGTACAGTCAGTCAGCCAGCCCTGTGTACAGTTCTCTGTGTAGTCAGTCAGCCAGCCCTGTGTACAGTTCTCTGTGTACAGTTCTCTGTGTACAGTCAGTCAGCCAGCCCTGTGTACAGTTCTCTGTGTACAGTCAGTCAGCCAGCCCTGTGTACAGTTCTCTGTGTACAGTCAGTCAGCCCTGTGTACAGTTCTCTGTGTACACCCTAATATAGGTGCTTGCTACCTGTTTTGATTTGCAATGCCATTTGGTTGAATTAGAACAAAGTAATTAAGGTGCAATATCACAGTTTTTACTGTTGTCATATTTTTCAGGGCTATTATTAATCATTTTACTCCCAAGATAGATTCTTGGACTGCAGCTAACCATCTTTCTTCACTGACTGCTGAACAGGTTAGTAGTATACTACATGTATGTTAAGTTGTGCATATTGAATGCCTACTAAGCATTTAATACATAATATACTTGAATGGCAGGAGACATTTGTATGTTGTTGCACACAATTAGACAGTATATATCTGAGAAATAACACTAAAAATTGCATTTAAATCAAATGGTAAAACAATGCATTCGTAACCCACAATACTCAAGTAGATTACTTACTAAATTCTCCTGTAGATATACAACTTTAATAAGCATGCCATTGTCTTGACAGGTTTTAGATGTTGTTCGGAGTAACTACGATACACTCACTTTAAAATTACAAGATAATTTAGATCAGTATGAGAGATACTCAGAGAAGCCAACAGAAACAGCATTCTTTACATATTTGGTAAGTTTCTCATCCATTTTATGCCGGATTGAACAAAGAAGTAACATTGAAATGGTCCATCATTTCCTTGTCATGATGTCATCACATAATTTGTGTTCTCTGGTATTTTTAGGTTGATTTCAGTGATACCATAATCCTTTCATTTGTCTTTTGTAGGTGAGGTCAATTATTTCTGATTTCAGACAGCATATAAGTTTAAACAATCTACAACAACTGAGTGTTCTGCAAGAGTTCTCAAGCTTATCATGACAAGGAAAACGTTTTGAAATCTGTGAAGTTCTGCATTACATGGGTTTGAAGGATCTGAACATCTTCTTTCAATTCATTCATAGTGGTGTTTGTTTTTCTTGAATTATCAAGTTTAAAGTCAGTGTCTATTTATGCACCAATAATACAAATGTAACACAAAATTGTTGTAGGGCAGTGGTCATCATGTATCAGGTGTAATGTATTTGATAAACATCAACCCCAAGACACTCAAACTAAAAAAAAATAATGAATTATGTGTTCTATACAAACTATGTAGGTGATTTGTATTAACAACTGCATGTATGTTTTCAAGTACTGGGTGGTCTGTCAGTAGCACTAAATGTTAATTTTGTATTAACAACTGCATGTATGTTTTCAAGTACTGGGTGGTCTGTCAGTAGCACTAAATGTTAATTTTGTATTAACAACTGCATGTATGTTTTCAAGTACTGGGTGGTCTGTCAGTAGCACTAAATGTTAATTTTGAGGTATCTTTATTCAATTGGTCATAGAAAGCAGGAGAATCACTCAAATACTGTCTATAGTTAGGTACCGGGTAGTCACACTATTTCATTTCATTAAGATAACTTTGTACAATAGTTGGCAAACTTTAGTCAGCTATTCAGCTTGACTTATTGAAAGGTGGTGGTTATCTTGTCAAACTAAATTAGTATTCATGTGTGAGGGCAATATTGCAACATTATTTGTCGTTATTTGCTTTTAAAGGTCATCTGGCTGTGTGTAAACAGACACTCAATGTATGTATGTGTACACATCAATAGTATATATGACTGTGTGTAAACAGACACTCAATGTATGTATGTGTACACATCAATAGTATATATGACTGTGTGTAAACAGACACTCAATGTATGTATGTGTACACATCAATAGTATATATGACTGTGTAAACAGACACTCAATGTATGTATGTGTACACATCAATAGTATATATGACTGTGTGTAAACAGACACTCAATGTATGTATGTGTACACATCAATAGTATATATGACTGTGTGTAAACAGACACTCAATGTATGTATGTGTACACATCAATAGTATATATGACTGTGTGTAAACAGACACTCAATGTATGTATGTGTACACATCAATAGTATATATGACTGTGTGTAAACAGACACTCAATGTATGTATGTGTACACATCAATAGTATATATGTCACATGAGACTTAAAATTGAACGTGAAAAAAAAACATGATTAGGTCTCACAATAGAAGTAACTTGTGATAAATAACTAAATGTCTCTGGTTTTTGCTGTATACATTTTTTCTGCTTTATGTGATAAAATAAAATTCATGTGTTATGAATGACAGTTTGTACACAATCTTGAAACTTTTGAAATGCAATGATGTTTATTCTTTACTTTTTGTTTTTATTTAAAATGAGATATTGGTACATAAGTATGATATGCATATCTTGAAATTCATTAACTTTTTAATCCCATGACACAGTACGTTTCATTCCATACATATTTAGTGACAGAGATAATGCAATGATTTACTATAGTCACATATCACACATTGCACTGTGTTAGAAATATAAACATTAGGACAGCAATTCACTATGATCTTCCCTCAGAATGTCGTCTAAACTGTTTACATTATTCATTTTATTTGTATGAGATTTCAGGCTTACACTATCTGTACATATAAAATCAAAATTATATTGTTATACCCATGCAAATTTTTGAGGAAGAATGAGTTAATTTATTATTTTTCAGTTAATGCTTGTAAGTAGCAAATATGTAAAAAAATTCTGATTTTTATTTGCGGATTATCGTTACTAGGAAAAATGATCCATTGTTTATATATTGTGTTGTGTATTACTATGTGTATATTGTACACATTAACCAGTAATCAACTTGTGATTGGTAGCTGCAAATGTAGTTATGTTAAATTTAATAAGGTTATCATTGTTGAAATTTTGAGTTGGTCTTGTGAATATTTGTATCACTGAAATTGGCAGGCCACTGTGCTTAACACATTTTTACATTAAACAAGACTGCATCAGTTCAGAATTGTATGACGAACACACTTCTACAGTGATTTGAGTAAATTAAATTAGGTTTGTATACTTTGAGAGTATGTAGAGCTAAACATTATCATTTGTCACCCATCCCCTAATAAGCAAGCATTATTTGTAGTCAATTGGAAATTGTCTTTTTCATCCAAAGTTAAAAATGTGTCACTAAAAGATACATAGCATTCATTGTTGAAAACCAGCATATACATTGTATTTTAGCAGGCAACTTTTTGAAAAGTTTAACCTAAGGTTTATTTCTATTTATGTATTCCACAAGCTGTGCACCAAAGTTTAGTTGCAATACATGGTGCTATATTAAAATTGAAAATACTGTGTTTTAAGATTATTTTATTGATGATATTTTTAGTGTGTTGGTAAAGGTTCTTGTTTGTGTATTCATGTAAATGCCAGTTTCTTTATAGTCCATCTGTTGTGAAATTAAGAAATTTAAATATCAAGTAAAAACCTTTGTGTTGTCTATTTAAATATTTAGGTAACTGTTGGTGTCATCTATTTTTGACTCCTGTGTGTGATGCACACAATGGGAATCTTTGTGGTTAGTGTATGTCTGAAAGGTGTCAACTGTGGACATTGTTTTTAATATATACCAACTTCCGAGGATCTTTTTCATAGTCTTCAGAAAACAATTTATATTAATAGTTTATTTGATTATTAATACGTTTTGCGTAGCTTAGGTTTAGTAAAGATATGGTACAGTTTATACTAATATAATTGTACCATACCTTCCCACTTTACTAAACCTAAGCTTTGCAAACATTTCTATGTTCAGTCTTGGGATATTCAACTGAATTAAAACATTGAATTGCATTGTAATTGAGTTTAATTAAAATGCAACCCTATATAGAAACGTAGAGTCCATATCGCAACTATATTAAAAGTTAATCCAATGAAGGCCTTGGAACACACGGAATACAAGTATGCATGTTCCACTGATATCTCAAGAACCGTATGTTGGTTTTTGATGAAACTTGGGACATAGATGTTCTGGACTAATGCACAGATTTGATTAGTTTTGGGTAAAAATCCATGCATATAATTAACCTAATTTTCATAATGATTAGTAAATTTTCGGCTTTTCTACTTATTAATCACATTTCAATTCGTCCCATAAATAAAGTTCGCAGGGGGAAAAGGTAATCCACAGATATTATTAGTTTAATGTTGATGATCATGTGAATTGACTATCTATTATTTGGCCATTACTGATTATCTGAAAAAAAATCAGATTTAAATTGAATTCATCAGAGGTGCTCTGGAATTAGATTAAAAATCAAATGTGTTTACTGTATGTATTATAAATGTTCATGATGTGGATCGCATTGTTTTAATGTTGTGTATCTCAAATACCAGACTATTACCGGTAGTTGCTAAACTTCTCGTTTGAAAATCAAATCTTAAATTTTGAATTAATTTTAAAGGGTGGCAGTCGTCGTGCCGCGTCCTGTTTGATATGGGACTCATAGTGACGTATACAACGCTTGTAAAATACATTGTTTATTTACATGAAATTCGAACACGTGCTGCGCAACGACACCGCCCTTTAATATGTCTCCAATATTCTCAGCACAGGAGTTCTTTCTAAGCTTTCTTTGATTCTAGTTGTTAGTTCTAGAAATCACTGTCAATGTCGTCTATCTCTCCGGTTATGCCCTCTACTATAACTTAAAGCTAAAATCACAGACTGGATATTCCTACAAAAGGTGTATGAAAGAAATACTGTATATCCAGAATTCAAGTCCACAGCAATACAACACGTGTATAAAACCTCCAAGGGAAGCCAGTCAAAATACAGGTACGACAATCATTGCTCTCAAAATGGGTCTTGAGGGTTGCTAAGTCTTGCCCCATTTTAGAATGTATTGACCCGGTAATAATGAATATTCATGAGCACAGAAACTGTCATGAATAAATAACAAAATTTTCAGGTCTTCTGGAATCATGCCCATTTTACGACTTCCCAAACAATTTCTACCTTTCGTTCAACTTATTCTTTCAAGCCAAATTTTTGTCTTTCTTCTACTGTACTACCAACCAACTTCATATTTTTTCCAATTTGTGTCTAAAAATTTGACTAACTTACCATTTAGAACCTTCTGTCCTCACTTATTGACATTCTAACTTTCAAAAGCAACTTTTATGAAATTTTTTCGACTTTTTGTGCATCTTTTCTTTTCAACCAACATTTTCAACTTTCTATCTCGCAGATTGACTATATAACCCTCTACTGTGGAATACTTTATTTTCGCTGGAATTAATTTTCGCTGAAAAGGCTTTTTGGGCGTTTTGTATGGAATTTATTTTCACTGATTTTTGATGAGTTTAATGTGAAATATAGAAAAAAAAGTATATTCGCTGGATTTTATTTTCACGAAATCATCCCTTCAGCGAAAATAAAGTATTCTACAGTATTTTGTCTTTGCATACTTTTTCGAAATTCCTACCATTTTGATATTCCATACTACTGTTCTAACTTTATATTCAACCAAATTTTTAGCTTATCATACGAGTGATTGTCAGTCGTCATCATCATCCGTGTCAATGTTTCACTTTTTCAACTTCTTCATGAAAACTGCAATTCTTATTTCTTTGATACTTGCTGTATATATACCTTGGGCAGATTTGTTTATTTTGTGATATCTACAATAACCTAATTGTGATGAATATTTTTGGTAAAGTGATATTGTCTGATTGCTTTGATACTATGCATATAGGTACCTCTGGTAGACCTCTCTCAGATTTTCTAATGATATCTTCAGTTCTTTAATTGAAATATGCATTGCCAACAGTGGGAGGCTGCTTGTTTGATTTTTCAAACCAGTATTTATAACTCCTGACTTACCAACATGTGACTTTCTCAAGACTTTCCAGCCAAATTATTACTTTCTACCACACTTTTTCTCATGCAGTTTTTTGCGTTGGCTGATTTATTATTTTATTTGGAGCTGAATTTTTACATAAATTAAACAAGCAGCCTATCGGCTGAGATAGCTCCGCTGTTAGCAATGCACATGGCAATTAAAGAACAGAAGATATCATTAGAAAATGAACAAATCTGAGAGAGGTCCACATGTAGTACCTATATGTATAATATATCAAAGCAATTGGACTTGCGGTTTTCAACAATAAGTCGAAAATATCACTTTTTACCAAAAATATTCATCAAAATTAGAGAATTAAAGATATCATTATGAAATGAACAAATCTGAGAGAGGTCCACATGTAGTACCTATATATGTAATATCAAAGCAATTGGACTTGCGGTTTTCAACAAGAAGTCGAAAATATCACTTTTTACCAAAAATATTCACCAAAATTAGAGAATTGAAGATATCATTACAAAATCAACAAATCTGAGAGAGGTCCACATGTAGTACCTATATATGTAATATCAAAGCGGTTTTCAACAAAAAGTCGAAAATATCACTTTTTACCAAAAATATTCACCAAAATTAGAGAATTGAAGATATCATCATGAAATGAACAAATCTGAGAGAGGTCTACCCAAGGTACATATACACCAAGTATCAAAGCATTCAGGCTTGTAGTTTTCAAGAAGAAGTTGAAAAAGTAAAACATTGACACGGACGACGACGACGGACGGACAATCACTCATATGATAAGCTCCGCTCGACAAAGTCGACAGCGGAGCTAATAAAAACCAGGAAACCAATTTCTTTATTATATTTCAATGATTCATCCTGTTAAAGTTTAGAATAATGAGACGACTGAATCTGCTTCATACTAGGATCTGTGTCTTATATGACAGATGATTTTAGTTTTACTACCGGTATAACCAATTTCCACATCTTTGCAGCAGAATACCTCTCTTTGGGATATGTTTGCCAGCTTTTGTAGAAAATGACTGGCTTTAACAAAAACATGTTGGTATATATAATAAGCTTTGTATACAATGAGAGTAATGCAAAAATGATACAAGATGTCATCTTTCCTGCCAACATTTCAAATTCCTTTCAGACAAATTTTCACCTTTCCAATAATGGTAAATTTTCACAACTTTCTAAATATGTCTTTAGGCCCAACCACCGATATCTACCTCCCAAACTAACAACTTTTACTGCAAACATTTTGTATATTCCTTACAACTTCCAGAACATGTTTTTAGACTTCCCTAAACCTTATTTTTTTTAACTTCCAGGCAATTTTCATTATTTATGACTTAGCATTCAAATCAACCCTTTCTACCATCTTCCACCCAACCTTTTGGACTTTCTTTCGACTCTCCAACCAACTTATAAGGCATTTTTAACTTTTCACTGGACTTTCCTCTAAATTTAAGACTCTCCAACCATCCAAAATGAAGCTGATGTCCCTTTAAAGCAGATTCTCTGAAAATCTTTTTTAGATCAAGAGTTTTGAGTAATGAATAAAAAAACTAAATGTTGCAGACCTATTGAATCTTTATTACGCAAGCACAAACTAATGGAATCAATTAAAATACAAAAGTTGAATACTATACGTAGTTTTGTGTTATCTACAATGAACAGTAAATGTAACTAGTTTTTTTATCAATATATACTATTAACTGTTGTGTCAAATTGATTCCTGTAACACTTTACCCTGCATCAATGTCAGAAGACTTCAACCATGGGCAATACTCATTTGCATACTAAACAGGTTTTACATGGGTACTCAAATTTAGAATGCTCATAATATTCAATCATTCATCAAAATTTTTATATTTCATGTTTTTTTTATGGCTAGAAGTCATGCATGATTTCTTTGACAAGAGATTAGTTGAGTATAACTGTCAATTAATTTACAAATGTAGGTAATGTGAGTTTTTATTGTGATATCCTAGACACTAGACTATTCAAACAACATTGTGAACACAAAGGATTCGATTTATACAAACATACATTGTTGTTGAGTGAGACACCTTATGTCCCTTGGATCTTTTCAGGACAGCAGTGTCTGTTAAAAACTCAAAATGCAAAGCAATGTTGCAAGGCAAACTAGAAACACACTATTTGATTTGGTCTTAGCAGGAATTCTGATTTATAACTGAGCTGTTTTAGTGAAATAGTTTTATTGTTAAGACTGATTTTCAAGACACCACACACAAGCATTTTGAAACATGCGTAACCAAGGTGATACTTTTAAAGTTTTCCTCCATTCATTAGGCATCCATGGCCACTGCCAAACTAAGGTACATCTCTCTGGATGCGGCATCATGGCAAGATGGCGGCCATCACGTGAGCAAAGTGCAGCAATGCCATTGGGAGAACCATTTGGATTTAATGGATATTGTGTTGTAACATCACCGATATCATCTACATAACGTATAGGAGCAAGGTTATTTTTGAGCACATTTTGTAGAATCTCATCATTCAGAAACTTCATATTACCTATAAATATAAACAACACAAAGTTATTTTACTGGAATTATATTTCTAATGGCTACAGTGATTGATTTGAAGAAGGATACATTAATTTATTCAACAAGCTCTAATAAAAGTTAAATGTATGAAGCTATGAATATTTTTTAAGGAAATTTATATGTTTATAGAACATTCACCTTCACACTTCACTCCAGAAAACATTGGTGGATATATTGCCATGCAACCATTAATGAACTGTGATTGGTCATGTTGCTTTCAATAACCATTGGAATTTATAAAACAGTTATAAATATTTGACATAAAAAACATTCATGCCTTTATTCACTGTATATGGATTGTAGCATACATTGGCTAATTTAGGATATAAATCATTACATAGTTATGTTACCTTCACCATGTGCCACCCAAACACCAAGTGTGGAGCAATCCATTCCTTTCAACATTATAGCTGGACTTGACTGAATCTGGACACTCACAAAACGAGATTCAAATCTCTCTGAGTTATTGTGAGTCAAGAAGACGCCTTGTTGAGCAGAGGCACAGTCACCATCTTGGTCTGTATAAAAAAATATAGCATTAGGACTGTTGATAGTTCAATGATAACACTTTGCGAAATATATAAAATACAAGTCATTGAAAATTTCTTTAAAGTTCTTTTTGTGCTCGTCATATTAAATTGGAGGGGTTGTCGCGAGTGTGTCCTTGAAACTCGAGTCCCAAATGGCGTATACAACAGATTGTTTATTTACATCAAATTCGAACATGTGTTGCGTGATGACCCCTTCAGTTTAAGACATAGCAAAGAAAAACATAGATCACAAGTGAAAGCACGTCCAAGTTATCACATTTTAAACAAACAAGATGGCCGCCAGTCAGCCACATTCAATTGACATGTACCCATTTATGACATACTAAATATCAATGAAAATGATACATGGGTTACAGAGATAATAGTAATATGGCCAAAAATAAAAACAGCCGTTATTCGGGCATCTTTTATCTGATTATGAAACAAAGTGACACGTATGATGTATGTGCCAAATTTGAAGGAAAATGGTACATAAATCTCGAAAATATAGTCGTAAGGCCAAAAATTCAGATGGCTGTCAATCAGCCATCCTTGATCCAATTTTGAAACAAACTGTCATGGACATGTATTCCAACATGTATAAAGTATGTGCAAAATTTGAATAAAAACTGAAAAAGCATGTCCAAGATACCACATTTCAAATCAAAGAAAGCTTAGAAAGAACTCCCATGTGCTGAGAGTATTAGAGACACATTAAATATAATTTGAAATTACTTAGCTGAAAACTAATTATGCAAATCAGAAAATTAACATGAACAGATTTGATTGTAAAACTAATGAGGTCTACGCAATGTAACAAAAACTCTATGTACCAAGTTTAATTGAAATGTGATTAGAACCAAAAAATTATGAATTATTATGCTAATTAGGAAAATAATATGAACAGTTTTACCCCAAACTAATTAGGTTTGTACATTGTCCTAGAGCATCTTTGTACTAAGTTTCATTAAAATGGAAATTAGTACTTTAGATATCAGTGTGAAAGCTTAAAATTGGTTAATTATGCAAATTGGGTAATTAATATGTACAGATTTTAACCCACAATTATCCAGGTCTGTCTATTGTCCTACAGCATCCATGTATAAACATTCATTGATATGTGATGATTAGTACCTGAGATATCAGTGTGAAAGTTGGAAATTGGTTAATTATGCAAATTAGGTAATTAATATGCACAATTATTTACCCTGAAACTAATCAGGTCTCTGCATAGTCCTAAAGGATCTATGTACCAAGTTTCATTGAAATGCGATGATTAGTACTTGAGATACCCATGGAAAAGCTGAAAATTAACTAATTATGCAAATTAGGTGATTAATATGCACAAATATTTATCTGAAACAATCAATCTCTGCATAGTTCTTGAGTATGTAAGTACCAAGTTTCATTGAAATGTAATATCAAAAGCTGAAAATTAATTAATTATGTAAATTATTATATGTACTGATATTACCATAAAAACTATCAGGTCTGTGCAGTGTCATATGACATCTATGTACCAAGTTTCATTGAAATGTGATGATTAGTACTTGAGATATCAGTGGAAAAATCGAAAATTGACTAATCATTATGCAAATTAGGTAATTAGTATCCACGGATTATTACCAAAAACTAATCAAAACCTAGCATTTGTTCAGAGCATCTATGTACCAAGTTTCATCAAAATCCAATGAGTGGTTGTTTAGATATCAGTGGAACAGTCATGGAACCACTAAAAAATAGCTAATTATCATGCAAATTAGGTAATTAATATGCACGGATTTTTACCAAAAACTAATCAAATCTGCGCATATGTTCAGAGCATCTATGTACCAAGTTTCATCAAAAGCCAATGAGTGGTTCTTTAGATATCAGTGGAACAGTCATAGAACAGCTAAAACTTAGCTAATTATCATGCAAATTAGGTAGTTAACGAGCATGGATTTTTACCAAAACCTAATCAAATCTGCGCATTGGCCCAGAGCATCTATGCACCAAGTTTCATCAAAAACCGATGTATGGTTCTTGAGATAGCAGTGGAACAGTTGGACACACATACACACACACACACACATACAGACACACTAACTGCAAAGACTCCCATTTTGTGCTTTGCACATGGGAGTCAAAAACAAACAAGATGCCTGCCAGTCGGCCATCTTTGATCCAATTGCGAAAGAAATTGTCATGGACATGCATCCTAACATGTATAATCTTTGTACCAAGTTTGAATGAAAACTGACAAAGCATTTTAAAAAAAACAAGATGGCTTCCAGTTGGCCATTTTGAATCAAATCGCTAAACCACTGCATGTGCATATGTCCCACATAAAGTACTAGGCACATGCAAAGAATGAACGGAATCGGTCCAAGGGATTCTGAGATATGACTCTGGAAGGATGCACTGACGGACGGAGACCGAATTGTAAGTCCCCGTTTTTGGACTTTGTCCGAACGGGGACTAATAGGACTGTAGACTCAGTAATTATTTCCTATGGATGGTTGATGTTACTGTGAATTATTGTATACAGTGAGTAAATGGTTCATATACATTGTTGAATGACATAATTAAATAATAACACATGTTTGTGAGGGTAATATCACAATTTGTTGCCTGCCCACGATTGTACCACACCTTCTATTCACAAGTCACTCAGCTAAGAGCTTCTCTGTGACACACATACAAATGCTCACAGCATAGAACATGCCACAGTTGCGACATTTCAGTGGCGATTTTGTCGTACATTTTTGCGCTGTAGTTTCAGCGACCCATGATATACCATGTAATATCTATTTCAACATCATGTGACTTAGTCTCAACCAATCACAGCATGCATAACAGTGAGATGTGATAAAAAAGTATATTTGCACTTGAATGGTATTAGAGAAGTGTGCATTTGTGTCCGAAACATATCAATGATAAATATTGTGAAGTTTGGTATGAACTGTGTGACTTGCAGCTCCAAGAGCTGTCCAGTCTAAGTCACCACAAAACATTAAAAAATTTAAAATCATGTCATTTACTTTGTGAAATGAGTCATAATGTATATGTATGTATTACATTTGAACAAAAACTCACAAAGCATGTATAAGATACAACATTAAAAAAAAACAATATGGCTGTCAGTCAGCCATCTTAGATCAATCTCTAAACCACTACATGTGCATACATGCATGTCCCACATAAAGTACTAAACACACCCAGAGGATTCTAAAATATTACTCCAGATGTTATAAGTTACAGGAACTAATTACAATTATGGTTTTATACATTTTTTTATTCACACCATTAATGAGCAGTTTATACATCAATGCATTTCCATGGATACTATTAATTGCTGTCGTAAATCAATGAAAGCAGCAAAAGTAGACAAATCGTGTGATTATAGTTGCTTAATTCATATTACTTTTTTCAAATTCGAAATGGACATCAAGAGGCAACTGTGTCTTATTTTTCTGCATGTTCATCACCTTTAAGTGAGCACATAGTTGGAATTACAGTAATAGTAATATTCAAATAAACAGCAACTAAAATTCACAATATTCACATACACTTGTTTTATTCTGACTTTACAGATGATTATTTTGACGATACTATGTGTTTAGTCATTTTTACCTTGAATGTCAGCAGGTGCTATCCATCCAAGAAGTCCCATTAGTTGACAGCCATTACATACACCAAGAGAGAAAGTATCATGACGAGCACGGAAAGCATCAAACTGTGCACGAACTGTTTGGTTAAATAAAACTGCTGCCGCCCATCCTACACAGATAAATACACAATAATATAAACACTGGAAACACTGCCCACATATCCTCTATTATAACATTTTTTCCCATGATTCCATGCACAATTCTATTTGCAGGGTTTGAGGTAATATGACAAAAGCATAGAATAAAGGATGCTGACAGAGAGAATTAAAAGTTTTGATGACGTCATAGTTATAACGTTCTTTCTCATGTGCTACACCACGGCTTTGGAACACATTACCACCTGAACTACGCAAGTCACCAACTTTGAACTGTTTCAAGACTCATCTTTTTAGGAAAGCCTTTAACAACTAGTCATCTCTATGTACAGCGCCATTGAACATTACCTTGTTTTGAATACTGGCGCTTTATAAATTACATATTATTGCTATTATTATTAAAAAGCCCCCCAATTTAACTAATTTTTTAAAATTCAGATGGTGATGAACCATAATGAATCCCCCACAGTGTCATATTAAATCTACATACCTTGCCACAGACACTTAATTCCATTCAAAGTGGCACGATGAGAGATTCATTATTGATTTAGATTTTATACAATTAACATAAATTGCTAAAACTGTTGAAACACACTTCAATGGTAATCAATATGGTAATATGACAGAACCCCACACCCTTCCCGTGGCTTTCGAGATTACACCGCATTACTAGTGAACATAATTTCCATTCACAACGAAAGCCAAAAGGAGGGTGTGGGGTTCTGTCATATGGTAATCGATATGGTAATCAATATGATAATTAATTAATATGGTTATCAATATGGTGAACAAATTCAGATAGTTATAATTCCATCAATGACCAACCTTTGGCAGACCCACACACATCTGCATAGCTGAACCCTCCAACAAACACAACACCACGAAAGTGATCCAATGTGACTTTTGCCGTACATAAATCCTGCATGTTGACATCCCACACCTCAAATCCAGCCATGTAGAATGATGATATCATTTCTCTGTCACCATTGCTGCCTTCCTCACGTATAATTCCAACTTTAGGTTTGTCTGTAAACAAAAGCACTTATTTAAACTTGCACATGTCAGAGTAAGTAATCAAAGCTGTAATAAAAATTGTTGTCATAGCAATCTATGATTTTATTTAATTTGATACAAAAAATATGATTACCAAAGTTATTGATTATTAAGAAATCAATAATATCTAGAATGCATTGACATAGTTATTATAGTCACTATCAATTTTTGTTTATCTACTGCAGAGTAACATGCTGGTAGCACACATACAGATATACAGAGCCAAAGTATTAGTCCCCTTATCAGGCTGCAACCATGGGAATAAAGTCATCACCCACCAGTGCACTGTGCAGAGCTGACAAGCCAACCATGGGAATAAAGTCATCACCCACCAGTGCACTGTGCAGAGCTGACAAGTCAACCATGGGAATAAAGTCATCACCCACCAGTGCACTATGTAGAGCTGACAAGTCAACCATGGGAATAAAGCCATCACCCACCATTGTACTGTGCAGAGCTGACAAGTCAACCATGGGAATAAAGCCATCACCCACCAGTGCACTATGTAGAGCTGACAAGCCAACCATGGGAATAAAGTCATCACCTACCAGTGCACTGTGTAGAGCTGACAAGTCAACCATGGGAATAAAGTCATCACCCACCATTGCACTGTGTAGAGCTGACAAGTCAACCATGGGAATAAAGCCATCACCCACCAGTGTACTGTGCAGAGCTGACAAGTCAA